ATACTTCCGTGTACGATAAAGACTATAATCAAAAAATTCAATTAATACACGCTCAACAGCTATAAATGCACTAAGCCATAGACATATATGGTATATTAGATGCATAAATGCTGGTATGAGTGTACAATATATGAGTGGATGGTTCTGTAGTTCATTATTGTAAAGTAATGTTACAATTGCATTAATTTCTAAGAACGCTACACCGATAAAACTAAAAATCGAATAAAGTACTATATACAGGCCACACACTGTAATACGTATTTTTTGTATAGAACATGTTAAAAGAGTTAATAAACTATTAATAAACGATAAAACTGTTAGAAGGGAGCACATGAAAATAAAAAGAATCTTTAATGCGATTCTCGTAGAAGCTAATTCTTCCAAAAGAGTATTAATTAACATCGATGATGACATGAAATACTGCACGTAGTAATAAATATTTTCACAAAATTCACCTCCTGTACAATCAGTACAGACACAGTAATAGTTTGATGTTTGATTATTCATCATACACTGTCCATTATTTAAACATTTACATTCACTCATTCTGAGATGTTTACTAACATGTGATTGAAAATTTCAGATTGTCCTCTCAGTTCAGTCCCTTTTGCACATTGAAATATATTGAATTCGAAATTGTGATCGGTCTGCTATTTTCCTTTGTTTCTAGAAAGTTTTCAAAAACTTACTGAACTATCAAAATGGCTCTTGTCATAGAGTGTCTATAATAACTTTACGAAACAAAGGTGAGGAATTTGAAAAAAAAAGGTTTTATTTTCAAATTTTTATTAAAGATATGGTGCTATTACCTTTACAAATTTTTCTTTAGAGTCGATCGATTGTTTTTTTGTCTAATATTACTGAAACTTCTTTCTGTGTTATTTATTTAGAAAATATATAACTTCTAAAATACGATGTTCGTAGACAGAGGAAATAGAGCAAAGGTTTCTTTAGGATTCTATATATTTTCGAGTTTAGTCGTAGTCATACTCTCTAGAAAAACACCTACCCTCGGAAAACTTTAAAGGGTTTCCGACTTTGTTACTATCTGAAACCCTATAAGAGTTTCTAAACAAGAGTTTCTGAGCTCTCGAAAACCCAGAAAAATCAGTAGTAGTAATGTTTGAGATCCTGATCTCGAAAACAGATTAAAGGTTTCTGAGCTCACGAACACAGATCCAAATACCTTGAAAGAAGTAATAGAAACTTTATCGAAGATATCAAAAACGATCTATTTAGAACAGCGAGAAGAGAACAACTAAAATGAAGATGGAAGTAATCAATGTTTTCTCATACCACTTAATATTTGTGTTTCATCGATAGGAACCTAAGTATAAAAGAAAAATATTAAATATTGTATTCATAATGTGTAACTCACCATTTGCATTGTATCGATATGTAAAGGTGAAAAAGAAATAAGAAAGAGGGAATTGATATTGCAAAGAACAGAGCAGAATCAATGACGTGACGCAGCTCTTTTGCATATTTTGCCCACGTTGCAAGAAAAATGTATATTCTTCCTTTTTACACATAAACTAATTATAGCTAAAAAAGAACAAGTCACTTCCTTTCAATGATATATTAGTGACGTAGCCGATCACTGAATATGTATAAAACACTAATATTTTCTACCATTCGCTTTTGAATGGTAAATAGATTCATGAAAATAGATAATAACAATTGCTCACTTCCGCTCTTCTTACTCATTTTCACATGCGTAAGAACCGATGTATTTTAGTGATCTGTATGGTTTATTTTTCGACTTGTTAGACGACTCTGATCTAGTATTACTTTGCAGGATAAAATTAATTTTAATAACTAACTGGTATTTGAACAGAAATATTTAGTGTCGAAAAAAAAATGGTAGAAAATGATTGTCCAAAAAAGAATGAATCTCCGATTGTTATACTACGGTATTTATTCTCAAACATAGAGCAAAGATGTAAAGTCTTCTGATGAACATTTACTACATTATTTGTGTTGTAGTACTCATTAGAATGATTTAACGAAGAAGCATTCGAATTCATTAAAACCCATGTATGGAAAAATTCTGGAGAATGTAGAAACTGCAAAAAATCTCGTTATTCTTGGGGATGTGGATATAACTTTGAAGGAAAAGATCACCTACAGCCGTATGCCATATCGATACCTACACACTTTTGTGATAGTATTATCTAGTGCTTAGAAATGGTAGTAACTGTTATTTGTCATCATGGATTGGCTTTTTAATCTGCATTCTTATTTTTCAAGATATGTTTGAATCATTAATTATGACATTAGTGCATGTTATAGGGATTCCAAACTTTCCAAAACTATTGTCACTGAACAACCAACCAAAGTAATTTAATCACTAGTTTTGCATAGAGTGTTTTTCAATTTTAGAATAGTTTGTAGTGACTGATGAATATTGATCTTCTTCTTTGCCATTGTGTTATCTTCTATTTGAGTTCGATTTAACCGATTAATCGAACGCTGACCTTATCTTAATTTCCTTCTGTTTACATTAATAGCCACTCACGCTCTGCTTATTATTATACAAGGACACGTGCAGAAAAGAAAAGATGCGCCAGGAAATAGAGCATAGCCGCATAAAGATCGTGACGAGGGTGTGAGTGTGGGTGGGTGGGGTGTGGGTGTGGTTTGAGTGTGGGTGCTTCCTACAATAATTCCCACACCCACACCCATACCTCCAGTCCCACCCACAGCCACCGCCACACCCCACACCCACCCACACCCATACCCATACACACATCCACACCCACACCATACCCACACCCACATCCACCCACACGCAACACTCCCTTTACTCTTATGACTTCTCAGTCACATGAATGTATTTTCTAGCATGGGAAAAGTTACCTTCATTAATTTTGTGATTTTTCGGAGAATTTTTTCGTTTTTCTTTTCGAATGTTATTGGCATGCAATCCCTTCATTTTCTATCTTTCGATACAATATTATTCAACGAATAATCATTTGACAAACGCCTACCTGCAGTACCCACCTACACCCACAATCACCCACATCGACATTCGCACTCACACTCACCCTTTTTTGAATAGATTAATTAGCACGAGTTTTTATTATTATAATGAACTTGATTATATAGAAAATAGGATTTGAAGATCGAGTTTTGACTGTGGATATCGCGATGGATGACGAGAAGACCGATTTCCATCGCTAGCAACATCAATTAAGTTTTGATAAAGTTTTTTAGATACCAGTCATAACCATCTTGATAGTTTTGATTATAGAAATGGAATATACAATCAAAAAATGAATCAATAGTTGAATCTCCATATGAGAAATATCCAGGAAGCATCGAACACCACATGGATATGTTTGACGATCCTGAACAATTATTAGATATTCGATAGAACGAATTCTTCAAAAAATATGTATTCAAAACAAAGGAATAAGGTCTCGAAGAAACACAAGTAGTAGTTTTAAACAAAGATTGTAACTTTGACGACGGATAAAACGACTCCAATCGTTCATTCGTTTGAATGATAATCAATTTTCGTTGAATCGCTAATATTAAGTCCTCATGATTATACATCTTATTATATAACAATGCTTCTTGTGCTATGAAGTCCGACACCGCATTACCCAATGCATATTGTTCAGTACAAAAGCTCGATCCAAGAAAATCTGGATTTGGATCTTGATACATTGTAAATGGTCTCGGTTCAATCCATATTTTCCATGCATTTTTCCATAGACCAAAGAATGTTCTCATACATGATGACTTAAAACCCATAAAACATGCTTGTGGTATAAATGTATCTTGATGTTGACATTTCCATCTAGTGACAAATGATGAATCGTACATTACATGATCAAGAATGAAATAAAACGATCTGGTCGAGTGTCGAAATTCTTGTAAATATGGCGTCAAATCTTGATAAACAATTGTATCTGAATCCATCCAATAGATTTCATCAAAACCATGATCAAGAAACATAAGAATGTCAAGTTTATATTGTGTAGGATTCCAGTCATTGAAATGCGGTGTCTTAGACGTATGTTTACATAAAATACGATGATGATAACTTTTTTCAATACATGACATAACTTGATCTCGAGTATCATCGTCTTTAACCAATAGACCAACCATAACTTGTGGAGTTGATCTTAGAAATGAATTAATGGCATTTATTGTCATGTTCGTATATCGTGTGCTTCCATCAGCAAAATAGCATACAATTGATGAAAGAAGAGAAAATCTATTTATTGGGTGCCTATAATGTCCTAGAGTCATGATAGATCGTGACAAATCAGGAGTGATTTCTATATTTGCCTTTATCCACCGATGTAAAGCCATAGTAGCCATTTTTTTGTTGGGAATTTGAAGGTTTGAATGGCAAAAGATATCTTGAATGGTATTATAATTTAATTTCAAGAATTCATCTTGATGGCAAAGATATCTAAAATTTTCAGCTACAATTTGAATAGCTGATCGACGAACGTTTGGCCAATCTAGTGGTAATTCATTTTCCATGGATAATAATAATAAACAATTATTAGCATCGATATTTATGCTGGCTAGTTTTTGTTGTATAATTTCACTAAGTGTTGGTATCTGATATGTATTAGCAATTTCTAATAATGATTTTAACTGTTTATAATCAAGAGAGCTTGGTATTATGCCAGTATATATATATTTAAACATAATATGAAAACTCGACAAATCATTAGCTTGTACTTGTATTTCAGCTGGAATTTTCAATTTGTCTTTATCAAAGAGTGTTTTAAAATAGCCCGAATGAATCGATAAAATAGCTCTATGTGCTTTGTAGCGTTGTGTCTCATTGATAATGAGTTCAGTATCCCAGAGTAATGGGTTTTTAAACAAAAGTGTACCGGTATTACAGTAATTAATGCTTGTATTTGCATCGTCATTTTCGTATGTAGGATGTAGGCCTCTTCTGTCTAACATTGTTTCACATGTTCTTGCACGTTCTAATAAATCATTTCGCTCTACGATGAGTTGAATAAAGTCGTCTTTCGTCAGAAGATTATTATTGTTTCGTACTCTTCTCTCAGGATTCAAAACCCATGGCACTTTATTGTTCACTTTAAATTTGTACTCGTAATCGCCAGGCACAAGTGAAACAGTATGCAGATATACATATTTCGCTTTCTGAGAAGATAATGAGTCTTTGTAAGCATATGATAATCTTGCAATTGGAGAGGTCCAGTTATTGGATGAGCTGTACAATTCAACATGATCCAGATTAGACTCCGTGCAAAGTTGAAATACTACAGGATATGCACGTCGATCCCATGCTTCAGTCATTTTTTTTAGAATTTCTTGTATAAAAGAGAATGTAAAGCTGTAAGCAAATATATAAAGATTATAAAACTATGAAGCAGGCGATGGGAAAAATGGTCGCAGCGTTGTGTTGCTCTTATCTGTGGAAGGCTATTTTGATCACTAAAAAACAAATTTAACGTAATGCATTTTATGACAGTCACCATAAAAATGACAAAAAGATAAATCTGCGCAATGTCACATGTGAATCGTACTTATCATGCAAGCAGGTATCGAGTATGCATGTGAATGTCGAGTAGATTAGAGCTGCCAGCGAGTAAGGGTGTAATATGGGTGTTAGGCGAAGATGTCGCTGTGGATCGGTGTGAATTTGAGATGCATTTGTGGTTGTACTCTACGTCCACACTCATACATCAGTCCGAATCCACCATTGCTCACACCCTCATTCAAGTAAGCAAAAAATAAAGCAAGACGGCCGCCATGACTAGTCCGGAGTGTCCACAACACCCGTCAGATCAAATCTAAAACAGCCATGTAACCATAAAACGCAATTTAGACACACCAAGATGGGTGTAAGGGTGAGTGTTGGGTGTGGATGTGAAGCAGGGTTTGCAATGGAATTTCAAAACAAAATGTTTTTGTACACTCTGTTTAACCAAGCAAAATGTACATATACACTTTATTTTCGCAAGCAAAGTGTATCAAGGTGTACACGTCGACATTTATTGTATAATCTACAAAAAACCAGGGTGTGGGTGTGGGTATGGGTGTGAGTGAGTGTGGGTGGGTGGATGTGGGTGTGAGTGTTTGGATGTGGGTGGGTGAGTGTGGATGGGTGGGTGTATTAAAGGCACACGCACATCTAGATCCACACATCGACACATTCATGCACCCACACCCTACCAACATCCGCACACACCCACATCCTTCTTTGAATCTCTTTTTGAATGTGGCACTTAAAGACCTGCTAATATCTAAATTGTAAATAGGAAATTTGATAAAAATATAATAACTAACGATACAGCGGAAGAAAAAATAAAAACTCTTCAAACTCATCTCGACAGAAACGAAGAAATCTTAGGTTCACAAAGAACTACATGAAGAAATGTAAGCTAGACACTTTGAATATTCTCTTCCATCAATGTTACAAAGATTTCTCTCAAAAGAATCAACGGTCGAGATTATATAGAAATACACACTTACCTTGCTTTGAATATGTTTCTGTGCTTGTTCTCAAAATTGTTCTCTTCTCATAGCTTTATATACATCTAACGTCCATTGCGATTTGCGCAGTTTCTTTTTTCTTTTCTTTTTTATGTTTCAATCAGCGCTGCTAAGTTGTTTGCGAGTATACGAAAGTTGTTATAGAGAGAGACAGAGAGAACGAAGAAAGAAGCCTTGCATTCTCTTTGCTTTTATTATACAATTCATCTATTGGCGCTCCTTTCAACCCAGGCTAACAACAACAAAAACTGTTACGAAATAATGTTCAAGGACATTAAAGAGAGATAGATCAATATAACTTTCAATATACATTGAATTTGAGTGATAAGGTAATGTTAAGTACTAGTACACATGTATACTCGATCTTCTTCTTTCTCTCTCTTTGTTAGCATCATATCTATATGTTTTCATCGTTGTTATTGTTCACTCTGTGGACGTGCTTGGTCTCCTTCTTTCTGGTGTGCCTGTGCATGTGCATGTTGGTCGGATGTCGATTACATCTCCACCACACTGAAAAAAATAGGTACTCTACGAAACCTAAAAGGATTCCGATTCTTGTAACGAAATCAAAAGCTTTTTGTAATGTCGTACAGAACTTTCGAGGTTCCATAAAATCTCACAAAACCTTCTTTAGGGTTTACGAAAGTTTCAAGGGTTTCGTGAGACTTTGCAGAACTTCGAAAATTCCGAACGACATTCCAAAAGAATTTCGATTTCGTTACAAAAATCCGAACCCTATTAAGTTTCGTAGAGTACCTATTTTTTTTCAGTGCAGCACCCACACCCACACACTCTGTTCTTTCTCTTCGAAAGAAGAAAGTAAAGAACGACATATTATAACTTGAAAAAACCCATCCGGTGAGATTGAAATGATTATTATAACTATATAAAAATCCCACCCATTTCGGTACACGAATCAAGTTGTTTTTAACTCTTTATCGTTTTGATATCAGCAGATATACAGTTAAGTTTGGCATTAATTCCGTATGTGTTAGTCAGTAAGTTTTTGTATCAGCTGCAAATATGTTTGACATAAAATTGTGTGCAACGTATGATGAAAGTCATGCAGAAATCACACACAACCGGAACGAAAATACTTCCAGATGCGAAGCTACAATAGTTGGGTAGTAATCTTTCATTCTTTTTCTCTTGCTTTTATTATTTGTTTCTCTGCCCATGAAAAAAAATTTTGTAAAAAAGCGCGTTTCAACGCAAATTTCTAGAAAAACAACGTTATTTTTGCGTTCAGACGCATCTTTTTCGTCAGCGACGCGTCTAAACGCATCGTCTTTCATTTGCAACGCGTTTAAATGCAATCTTTTTTATTTACAACGCGTTTTTTTAAATTTAAAATGCTATCAAAAAACATCGTTCGAACGCGTTTACTTTTATGCATTACGACGCACTTATTTATCTTGCATTTGAATGCATTTTTTTACAAAAGCGCTTCAAGGCACTTTTTTCAACATGTTTTTTTTTAATGAAAAGCTGTTTTTTTTGTAAACATGTTTAAATGCGTTTTTCTAATGAATGTTTTTTTTTGTTGAAAAAAACCAGGGTTTTTCACAAATGCGCTAGACAGCGTTTTTTAATGTGCTTTTCACATAAAGAAAACGAATAATTTCACAAACAAGTTGAAAGGAGATCCAGATTCGCACTCTGAGTAAATACGTGGTTGTATGATGTAAGAGTTTACTAACATTTAAAAGAAATATTTTGCTGGACTACATTCGGCAATAAAACACTCAAATACGCCTGTTTGAGAGATAAATTTTATGATCATAGTACAGCACAATGTATTTGAATATAACGAAAGAAAAAAAATAGTTGTATGCCAAAAAGAAACAGCTCAGACGAGTTCAATCAAGTTTTATTTTTTCAAAAAGATGTCTTAAGCAGGTTGTAAAAGCTGTAGATAAGATAATACCCCGCGATAACAATTCTGTTACATTATCTTCATGGATCGGTTAGTTATAAGATGTTTTCTTAAATTTTAACAAAATTTCTAGCGGTTCATATTTAGAGCATTACCTTTACGATGTTTTTTGAAGGTTTTCCTTCAGATTACATATACCCTACAAACATATTAGTTAGCACAGCGATGTATGTATAATCTGAAGAAATTCCATTTCCAATTCATTTCAAGAAGCTATATAAAAAATAGTGTATGTTTGTTCATTTCATTCAGTGTTCTACTCAAATTTTAGCCCAGCTTCTTTTTTCGTTATTGAATTTCTCTACAGATCGGCAAGAATTGTTAGCTGTTTTGTTTCCAAGAAAAGTTGGAATATAAGTATAAACTATCACTTGACGAAAGAATAAGACCTTTTAACACACACAGCTTTTCGTTCTCTCCCAACATAGTTTTCTGAGTAATATCGACGGTAGTCGTGATCTTTTATTCTTATTGTCTCTTTGTCATCAGTTTATATCTCTTCCTATATTTTGTTTCTTCAAAAAAGCAAAATAATATATTGTAAGGATATTTATGTCTCTTGTTCTTTTATATGTCCTTTATGTTTTATTGATGAACTTATAGTGTTATGATGGAGTTGAATGAAAAAGACAAACAAAAACATACTGAGTATTTTCATTGGATAAATATTTTTTTTTATAGAACTATTTGATTTTTTCTGTTCATGGATTAAAAGTTCTTTGAATGAATTTCAGCCATCCCTTATAATCACCAAAAATTATACGATAAGTGGCGCTATTAGAAATAAATAATATAACATATATTTTTCCGAAATATTGAGTTTTACCCAAAAAATTCGGATTCATTTGTGGGAAAAAAAACAAGAACTTATAGAAAATTTATCAAATCAAAATACTGATTATGTTGACGCGCACTACTTTTAGAAATATCATACCGTATATTGCTATAGTCAGAAATATCGCATTGTACAACTCTATAATTAGTAATATTACACTGTACAGTTCTATAGTTAGTAACATCACTTCGTATACCCCTATAGTTAAAAATGTCATACCGTACGCTCTTATAGTTAATCATATCACTTCGTATGTCGTATGGTTAAATATATTATATAGCACACTCCTATAGTTAGTAACGTCACTTCGTATTCTTCGATAATTACAAATATAGCATTGTACAACTCTATAATTAGTAATATCACATCTTATACTCCCATAGTTAATAACATCACTTCGAA